GGCTATTCAAAGTCTTTTATATCCAAAAGAAATTATCTAAGTTTGAAGCTAAGCATTCTGCTAGGAATATTATTGAAAACTGTATATCAGTATGTTCTCCTTGAAAAGTTCCTTATCTTTGAAAACTTTTATGGATTTTAAATCATTAGGTCTAGAAAAAGAACAGGCCTGTAACATTTAAGGTAATTGAAAAAGTTGTACAAAACCTACGAAGTAAATATAGCTCAGACCCAGAGAGATTCTCAACAAAATTCTACTGAACATTTAAAGAAGATATACAACCAATACTGTTTGTATTATTCAAAAACATAGAAACAGAAGAGGAGCTCAAAAAATCCCTTCTATGAAGCCAGCAGTACTGTAATACCAAAACCAGATAAGAATGCAACAAAAAGAAAACTATAGACTCATATCCTTAAAGAACATAGATGCAAATTCTCAACAATCTACTTGCAAACCAGGTCAGACACAACAATTGATCATCACAAGACAGAATTGATCATCAAACATGGAAAATCCTCTCTGGATTTTTCACTTGAAGCATGGATATCTAAAACTCCAAAGGTAGCATCAAGCTTTGATAAAATACAGGTGATAATTGTCTTTCTGTGTCTGTGTTACCTCACACAGAATGTTTCAAGTTCCATCCATTTCCCTAAGAATTTTGTAATTTGGTTTTTCGACAGATGAATATTATTTCACGGAGTAAAGGTACCATACTTTCATTATCTATTCATCAATTGATGGACATCTAGGTTGTTTCAATTTTCTGGTGACTGCAAAAAGGGAAGCAATGAACATGGATGAACAGGTATCTCTGTAGTAAGATATGAGTCCCTTGGGTTTATACCCAACAGTGGAGTGGCTGGATCAAATAGTAGATCAATTTCTAGCTTTGTGATAAATCTCCACACCAATTTCCCATAATGACTGCAGCAGCTTGCATTCTTACCAGCAGTGGATAAGAATTCCCCTTTCTGCACATCATCGTAAACATTTGACCTTGTTTTTTTTTCTTTTAGAGTGGGTGCTGGGCAGATGAGGGAGTATGGAGAGGGATAAAGAACACTAAAGGTCTTTAGAAAAACCCATATGAGTGCTGTTACCATGGCTTTGAGTTCATATTTATAACTTTCCAGCTGTCTGGAAAACTCTATTTCTTTGTGGTCATTCATGACCTCTGGCTCTTGTAACTTCTCATGTAACCATGAATGATTCTGAGCATACAGGCTACCATATCATTCCTAGAGTTCTGAGGCACAAGCCTGTGGATGAATGAGCTGCTAAATCAATGATCATGACTCATCAAAAGAAATATCAATCTGCTAGTGTTATGAGATATTCAGAGATCTATACAGCAGTTACCCTCCAACTGGGCTCATGGCCAGGATGGTGCTGAAGTCTTTGCCTTGGGCTGCACTGTACAAAGCTCTGTCCCTTTTCTACCACAGGAATTTTCCTAAAATGTATCCATTTTCACACAACCAAGATGGAAACCTGTTCTATCAAAATACAAACAGGAACATGTTACATCATCATTTGTTCCTTCTGATTTCTTGATCATATTCTGTGGTCACTGAAGGAACTCTGGAAAGGGACAGGAGAGACTCTGAAAAATTCAAACAGACTTGAAGCTCACTGCCACATGCACCTATGATGAAAGTTTGCTCAGTGTTTCAAGTGACCATTAAAGATGGTCCCTTTAATGAGCGACATCATCAAAATGTCCAAATTGTTATCTTATTCTGAGTGAAAGTATACTTTTCAACTTATTTTATAATTTATATTGGAAATTTTTGTTGTTTATTCTACCTATTATCCAGTTATGGATCCAGATCTGGTGTTATTCTAGCATACATTTTCTTCATGTTGTAGTTTGCTTATGAAGAAATAATTTCCAAAAGGCTCCTATGTAAAACATTTATTCCCAACCTGATGGTTCCAATCATTGCGGGGGGGGTGATTGGACCATGGGGACTTCTACCTAATCAATGGATTCATCTCTTGATGATTCATAACTGAATGGCATTATTGGGAGGTGGTGGAAAGTCAAAGATCTGTGCTAGTTTAAGACTTAGATCACTAGGCCCTGCCTTTGAAGAGGCTGTCTTCTTCCTGGACCCTTCCTCTATCTCCCTTTGCCTCCCAGTTTCTAAGAGGTGAGCATTTTCCCCTGCCATGCCCTTCCTCCATGATATTTTACCCTCACCTCAGATGCACAGCAGTTAAATTGCTTTCCTCAGATATTTTGCCACAGGGAAGAAAAAACTACCACTCAGCACAGCCCACACCACTTCAAGGTTTTCCTGGGGAACACCTAGACATAAGCACATTAAGCAAATTTAGGAGGGTTGATTCCTAGGACGACAAGCTTTATGATGTTTGGAGGTTTCCAAGTATTGTATGTAGTGTAGGTCACTCATGTTCCCTGCTCTGTCTCCAATGTAGTTGCTCAGTTGTTTGGGTTTTTAAATGAATGCATGAATGGGATTAGCTGGCACTAATCCCAATTATTTCTCTGGGACCACAAACTGTTTCCACTTCAGAAACATTAAGTACCATCAATTGATGTGAGATGTTGACTCAAAGCATATCCATCCATGGGGTGGAGTGAGGTTTCTTAGGAGAAGAGCAGATGGAACTCAGAGGGATGTTGGCCCAGAAGTAGTTTCAACAATACCATGTTTTGTCTTATGTTGGTTTCTAGTTTATTTTTTAGGTAAAATGTGTATGACAGAGATAGAGACAAAGAAAGAGACAGACTGGGACATGCACACAGGGAGATGAAATTAGAAGAGAGACTAGAAGAGGGAAGGATCATAGGAGAAAGAAGGGGAAATAGGGAGGAAGTTAGGTGGATATGATAAAATATATGATATACTTGAAAGACACTGCTTTAATGAAGCCTATGTACAAAGAACATATACCAATAAAGAATTTTAGGTCCAGCAAGATGGCTCCACAGGTGAAGGGACTTGCCACTGAGACTGATGCTACACATGAATTCAATCCCCAGAACTCACATTGTAGACGGAGAAAATTAAGTCCCACAGGTTTTCCTCTGACCTCTATAAACAAACCATGGCACACATACTACTACAAAAATACAGAGAGAAGAAGAGAGAGATGAATATATAATACAACACTGAAATAATTTATAAAAGTTAAAGGAAGAAATGGACACCATTAAGGGAGTGAAGAACTCTAGGAGCTGGCAATAGCAAAAGACATACTCTTCTAGAGCTTCCAAACAGGAATGCGGCCTGTCACCATCTTCCCTTCCGTCCCTGAAGTCCTAAAAATCTCTTTCTGACTTCCATAATTGTAAAAATAATTATACTTTTTGTGTTCAAGCAACAAATTATGTGGTAAATTATTATGTAGGAATAAGAAAAATAAAATACCTAGATCTTTTCTGAATTTTGATATAAAAAATTCCATAGAAAAAGGCCCAAGAGACGTTGAACTCATTCCTTTTTGCTGAGCTCTTAAACTTTCTCATCAATGAGAGACATGCTGGCTGTTTGGCAGATGAAGGAAGTGTGCAACTCTGGTGCTGTGTGAGATGCGAGCAGCTGGTGAAATCCTCAGAGGTTTGTGTTCGAGTGTGAAGCACTGTGGGAGGAGTATCATAATCCTGCTGACAGTAATAATCTGCCAGGTCTTCAGCCTGGACACTGCTGATGGTGAGTGTGAAATCTGTCCCAGACCAACTGTCTATAAAGCGATCAGGGACCCCAGTCTGCCATGTGGATGCCCAGTACATCAGCACCTTAGGAGCCTGCCCTGGCTTCTGCTGGTACCAGACCAAGTAGTTCTTCTGATTTGAGCTATAATAAAGACTCTGGCTGGACTTGCAGCTGATGGTGACTCTCTCCTGCTGACACAGCCAGGGAGTCTGGAGACTGTGTCATCACAATCTCCCCACAGGCACCTGCAATCAGGAATAGACAATGATCATATAAACATTTAAGTTGTTATTTAAATGTCCTTGTTATAATATTTTATCGGTATACTATTTTGTAAGAAAGATCATACCCTGGTACAGATTGTGGTTCTTATATACAAAGATGGGATTCTGAAAAGATTGTAATACTTTAAATTTCTTACCAGACACCCAGAGCAGCAGAGACATGAGGACCTGGGTCTGTGACACCATCTTGCTGCCTCTGCCTGAATGAAGCAGTTTAGTCCTCATTGCAAGAGCTTTGTTTATAAATTCTGAGGACCTGGGCTGGGCCTGGAGGGACCTATGCAGAGCAGCCAGCAAATAAAAAAGCAAATTTTCAGGACGGTGAATGTGAGAGTATTTGATGTAAATCAACACCTCAAAATACCACCACAGAAAACTTAAGTAATTACAGGAAATGATCAGCTATCAGTGCTCAAGCAACAAAGCACTAGCAGTTCTAATGCCAGCCTTCAGTTTAAGTCCAAGGCGTGCTTAAATTAGTTGAGTTTTACAGAAATGTTAGGAAAGCTATCTCAGATTGACAACGTTAGGAGAAAAATAAAATGTATTAGAAAACCAGAGTGATGAAAGGCAAAACAAAGCAAGAGGAGAAGGAAGGAAGGAAAGAAAGAAAGCAAGCAAGAAAGAAGAAAGAAAGAAAGAAAGAAAGAAAGAAAGAAAGAAAGAAAAAGAAAGAAGTTCTGAGTCCAACTTATGCAAGGCAATAATCTCTTTCTCATATATATATAATATACACACATATACATGTATATGAATATATAACAAAGGTAGCTCAAGGTATTTTATATCCAACACAAATTATTTACCTACTTGAAGTTTAACATTAGATCTGGAATGTTATTTACAATCGTATATGTATTAAATTAATATGCTCCCTACTTTTATTTTGCTTTTATGCATTCATTTTCCATCATAAAATATTAAAAACATTTTTATATCAATTAAAACTGCTAAGAGAGAAACATATCAGAGAGATAGGGCTGTAGAGATGGCTCAACAATTAAGACCACTGGCTGCTCCTTCAGAGAACGCAGATTTACATCCCCGCACCCAATGGCAGCTAAAAGTCATCTGTAAATCCAGTTTCAGGGGATCTGACACCCTCTTCACTCCTCCGTGGGTACTGCAAGACATGGGTGCACTTACATACAGGCATAACACTTATACACAGAAAATGAAAATAAGCAAATTTAAAAACAATTTTAAAAATATTTGCACTGATATCTGATGATATACATCTGCCTTGTAGAAAGGACCATCTCATTTTTTTAAAACATTGCATTTATTATTTTTATTTTTATGTGTATGAGTGCATTGCCTGCATGCAAGTGCACCTATGCTGTGCAATACCCACGGAGGTCAGAAGAGGGCATCAGGTCCCCTGGAACTGGAGTTATAGATGGTTGTTAGCCGCCATGTGGGTGCTGCGATTTAAACCTGGGTCCTCTGCAAGAGTAGTCAGTGGAGTCTTACAAGTCCAAGTAAAGTGCTGCAGTAAACACACTTGCTTCTCACAAAATGTGTGGGGTCTCTCCCTCTCCTCGTGGGTCATTGGCTACCGGTCCACGAGAACAAAGGGAGCAGAATCGATGAGTGGGGTCAGGAAGGACAGTGAACACTGATGGAAGAAAGCCCTTCAAGGGAGACAGGTAACTATGCCAAAGGTCATGTTCCAAATAAGGTCAGGCATCCATGCTTGGCCGCACTTTCCAGGTAAGTCAGGAAGAGAGCAAGAGGCCCCCTGCTGAGAAGGGGCGTCCTTCCATATGGCACCTAGCCCCTATCCGGACATGGAGGACTACAACACTAACAGCACGGTTTCCCAACAAATATGTAAGGAGAGAACATGGACATTCCAAAGATAATTGTCCACAGTCTTTTAAGCATAATTAAAAAAGCAATACAGAATGTTGTTAGTACTTTTGAAACAAATAAAGTTTCCACTACATGCTGTGGTTTATAAGATTACCTGGTCTGGGTTTATCAATGATCGCGGATCTGTTGGCTGAAAACAACACAGAATGTTCTCTCACATCTTAGGAGGAAAGAAGACTGAACTTGACCACCTTGAGTGCCTCTGAAACAGCACTCAATTCTGTAGTTACCAAGAAGATTGGGGGACCCAGGGAATGTCAGGTTTAGATTCAAATCATCCTGAGACATTGCAAGGCTGAAATCAACCTTGCTATTGTAATACATAGAATCTTCTTTTGAACACAAATGAGTGACTGGGATGGCCCAATATCCACGCAGAGTAGACACTGAAGGATTTTCAATAATTAATATAAAATTTTGATACAAAATTTTCCTTTTTTAAGTTACATAG